CCCCCCCCCCCCCCCCCGCCGCCCCCGCGCCTCCCCCCGGCTCCCGCCGCCGCCGTCGCCGTCGCTACCACCACCGCCACCATCACCACTACTACCACCGCCATCACCACCACCGTTACCACTATCGTCACCGTCGCTGCCACCGCCACCGCCGCCGCCACCACCACCACCACCACCACCACCACCAACACCACCACCACCACCACCACCACCGCCCACCGAAGTGCCATGGAGACTTGTCGATGTCGATTCGCCTTCACCGTCGGCATCCGCACAGTCGTCACCTTCACCGAGATCGTCGTGCGCCTCGTCACCACTTGATGGACTCCTCGCGCGATGTAGACGATCATCGCCGTTGTCATCGTCGAGTTCGTCTGGAGGAAGATACACGTGTTGATTTCAATCACCATACAGCTTCTCTATTTATAAACTGCTTTTCAATGTAAAAAAATATGCGATTTTCACACACATGTATTTATTTCGAATTTTTTTTTCATGTGTTTTTTGTTCTTCTAGAACCTATCGAAACTATTCTTGCTTATCGATTATCATTAATATTATTATATCGTTGTATCAATAGACACGAATTTTCTCTTAAAATTGTTATATATACATATATAACGTTTTTTTAAACAAAGAAAATTATAATTACTTTTCTCTTCCAATGCAATTATCTTTTCTCACAATGAAAAGCTTCCGGACACTTTTTACTTAGAATCGATAGCTCCTCGTAGAGTTATATTTTTCTGTTAATTATCTCTTTTGTTTCACAAGTTACTGAAACAAAGATCTTTTTATTTACGAGGATTATTATCCTTCAACTGGGATTATTCTTAACAAGTAACGCGGGATAAGTCTGATTAATGGCGCAAAAATTCGCGGAGATCAGAGAATTGCGATATCGTATAACGATAACAAATAATGATATTTGTAATGTGTGTGAAGTATGAAAGACACATCATGTATATTTATCGATATAATCAAATCGTTAACGAGAGAAAGGTAAACGCGTTAATCGCTTTTCTTTTTAAACGCGATCCGTATACGTCAATCAGTCCGGTGAGAGCGCTTTGAATTTACAAATTCTCTCTCACGCGCGTTCCGATAAATCGCCATTATACATTTCTCTATCCGTATTGAATATTTAATCAATTAATAGAATGCTAATTAATATTCTATTAATCCATTTTGACATAATTGCTGCGTATTGAATTCCCTATGCCGCTATCGATGCAAATGCATCATCCAATGACATTATTTGCGATGTATACCTACATATTTGTATAAAATACCATTATACAGTCGTGTGTCTTTTGCGATGAGAACGTGAGGGAGACAATAAAACATGCAATAATTTATTCATTTCCTACAAATATTTTTTCTATTGTTATGTCTTTATTAACTGGTGTGCGATATTCCATGTATGCAAAATCGAGGATAAATATGATCGTTTTATTTTTAGCGACAATATGTCATTAATATGTGTGTAGAATGTTTAATCCTTTCTCTCTACAAATGATCGTTGTGGCACAGACAAAAAGTCGGCTGAAACGAAACTAGATACGATACATTTTTATAATCAATAATTTGATATTTGTTATATCGGAAATATAATCGAGCAGAACATATTTTTAAAAATATGTGCTTTTCAACTTTTTTTGTTCGTAAAGTGAGAATCATTATTATTACCATTAAAACAAGATTTATTAAAAAATCTGTTGATTTTGTATACAGCCTTAAATATATTTTCTCTTTTTTTTCTTCTCATTTTTTTTTACAATTGCTTTAAATATATTCGCTTATTTTCGAAAAAAATGGCTGATTTTGAAAAAAATTTAATTTTCAGCCGTATCAAGATTTATAGAAAAAATAAAAATAACGCAACTAAACACTAAGCAGTTGTTATTATCGTTATCATATATACTGTTAAAGAATTAAGCGTTGTAAGATGGAACTAATTGATAATTGTGCAAGTGTGTTCATAGGTGGGAATGGTAACTGTCTAAGTGCTTAGGCAAGGTGGCAGAAGCAAAACGATCGTTGGGTAAGGCGATCGACGTTGGTTTGTCATGATGGAAGCCGTGGAAGCCTTACGCGTTGTATACGCGAAGATATACACATAGATACACGAACGCGTCTATAATGCGCACACAGACAATATATCTGTATATCTATAGAGGTCCCCCGCGTTACCTTCGTTTTCCTTCGTCTTTTCTTCGCGATCTATACGAGTTGGCGATTTCATGTTTCAATCGTCTTGAAATATCAGTGCATCTTGTGTATAACATTTTTTAGGAATTTCTTCAGTCGAGAGCACACATTTTTGAAGTTGATCAAGCTGAGAAAGTTTTGTATTATTATCAAGCAGAGAGAAGTAATAAAATTTTTATGTAATCAAAAATATTTATTTATTTTTCTCAGAAGCATATTTTTGAGATATAGATAAATATTCTACTTTTCTTTAGAATAATTTAATTATTACAATAATAATTATTAAATAACGATTAAAAGGAAAGTCTATTTTGGACACATCAGGCATATTGAATATCTCGTTTCTTTATATTATTCTTAATTATATGTTTCGGTTTCCACTTAATAAGAAAATTTCAAAAAAGATAACTTCACATTACTTTTGTCTGATTCGGTGAAAGTTTTATATTATCAAGCAGAGAGAAGTAATAAAATTTTTATGTAATCAAAAACATTTATTTATTTATTTTTCTCAGAGGCATATTTTTGAGATATAGATAAATATTCTACTTTTCTCTAGAATAATTTAATTATTACAATAATAATGATTAAATAACGATTAAAAGGAAAGCCTATTTTGGCATCAGGCATAAAATATCTCGTTTCTTTATATTATTCTTAATTATATGTTTCGGTTTCCACTTAATAAGAAAATTTCAAAAAAGAGAACTTCACATTACTTTTGTCTGACTCGGTGAAAGCCGGTGTTCGAGACCTCAGTTGCGAAACAATGTTAACATTTCCTTTCGACCACGGCGCGGCGCGCGTTTTCCCTCGGATTATCCTTAATAAGCCGTCTCGATCTGCCTGAGTAGGCGAGAGCGGGGCGAGAGGCAGGGAAGAGAATCGAACTCACCTCGCTGAGGAAAAGATGCGGACGCGGGACTGACGCGGCTGAGGGTGCCGACCACGTCGCTTGGTGAGGGATGCTCGAGCGTCTGCAGGCTGTGCGCCGGCCTCCATGGAAACGGCCAGCCGGCGCCGCCGAGTAGAACGCCACGAATGCCGTCGGCGTCGACAATGTCCGGTGATTGGCCGGCAACCTGCACGGCATTGCTGAGGGCGGACGAAGCCGCGGCGGCCAGCCGCGAATGATGCTGATGCTGCTGTTGTTGCTGCTGATGGAGATGCTGTAGTGTCGACGGGTAGAATAGGCCGCCGATGCCGACTGGGTATCGACTTGCTATCAATCTACAACAAGAGATGACAAAAGTCGTTTTATGATCATTATTAAATACGATGTAATATAGATCCAAGGTTTTGCGAATAATATTGTAATAATTAAAATCAAAACGAGAGAAGCAAGATTCTTTCGTAATCAAGATTTTTGTGTCTAGTAAATCCTATATAAATTTCAGATAAACTTTATTTTGATTTTTGAGAATGTATCGATTAATTCGGAGTGAAATTTTTTTCTTAACTAAAATGTTGAGACATAGGTAGCTCCTCGAAATCAGAAACGATTGAAAGCAAAGGATATCGAATTTTCAATTTGCTTTCTGAGAAATTGAAAAAAAATTTTTTCACACATTTATATGAAGAAAACTTCTACTCTTCAGAATTCTCATTTGGTTTTTTTGTTATAACGATTATTATAACATATGTTTTAAGACATGAAAGATTTATACATTAATATAATCTTATAATAATTTTTCTTAATAGTTAAATGTAATTATTATAACATAATGCAAACGTGAGGAATAATAGGAGTAATTAAACGTCAAGTATCAATTGGTATAGATACTATTTTATAGACAGATCGTGCCAAGTTTGTGAGTTTCGTTTAATATGCGACTAAAAAAGAAATCACCGAAACATCACGAACAAATCGAATATGGTCTCTAGCTTTGTTTATAAAAGAAATTTATGAACTGTCGCCACACGTGTAAATATACGAATAAAGTCTAGTGTGCGTCGCGGGTATAGTTTGAGCATGCGGGATCGTTACGTTCGGGATAAGTGCCGTCGCTCGTAGCTCGTAGCCGACGGCTATTACCATTCAGATTTACTCAACCACTCGGGAGAAAGCAAAGCTCTTCACTGAATAGAATATATTTGGAAACGGTGTTTGCACCGCAACAATAGCTGGACGTGCTACGAATAAACGCTCGACTGGTTATTAAGAGCAAAAATCCGCTTAGAGCAAGAAGCTCTCGAGAAAATCGTCGCGTTGACCAGGGGAGAAGCATACCTGCGCGTCGCGGACCCTTCCGGTGGCAAATTCAGTAGCAGCTTTATGCGGAAACCTTGATTAACACGTTGAATGCTGTGCTGGTCACTAGTAAACGGCACTTGAATTTTTAGTGGCGCCTTGCCGATCACCAGTGATTGGTTTGCTGACCCGTCGCTACCAAATTCACAAAATATACAAAACTCGTGCAAAATAACATTTCTACATATAATTAATATTCAAATAATAGTCTCTAAAGCAATAAACGTACTATGTATATCATAATTTTGCATAATTCACAATCGTATATTTTATTGATACAAATCCAACACAGTGTGAAAATTTCACTCCGGCGTTGCTAGAGGGACAAACGAATTAGAGTCGGTATCCAATGTGTTGAAATTATTTTTAATCATAACATAGTTTCCAATAAAAAACGTAGTTTCTTTAAAAAATTATGTAAATACGACATCAATATAACAGTGTAAACAAAATTATTACAACAAAGCTTCTCTGAAATTTTGCGAATTTAGTGGCTTTGTTTTGGTCGGAATCTTCTTTAGATCGTTTATCGGTAAATCTGTCTTTGGGTCTCTTCACGGTTGGTTGTCCTCTGATTGTTATTTCGCCGCTTATGTGCTTTCTCTCTTTCTTTTCCGTTACTTCCGATCGCAGCTAAGCGCCATTGTTGCAGCTGCACGCGTCGAAACTTAATGCGACAGTAACCGATTTGTGGTGAACAGAAATATAGGCAAGCAGGATCCGCCGGTCGACTGGCCGATATCGGCAGGCAGGGCAGGTTGGTCAGGCCGAGGAGGCTTCGGAAGCCTTAGTACTTTCCCGTGTTTCTTCCTCGCTTCCCCGTTGTAGTCCGTCTGCTGCTGAAACGAGCGATCTGATCTCGTTTCGATACGCGCTCGCCACATGAAAGCGCATTTGACTTTGTTTGCCATCGTATGAGTGGCACTTTACGCTCATTTCTGGCCTCGTTTGCGATGAAGATATGGCAAACAATTTATTTGTTCTAATATTCCATCTCGCGTTCTAATATATACCATCAGTTTTTTAATAGTTGGTTACATTTATTTTATCCGAAAATATTCTTTACTCTTCATCTTGAGATAACGTAATGCACTTTTTTAAGAAATTTTGTAATAATGATACTATTGTCTTGAGAAGCTTAATATATAGAATTCGATTAAATAGACAGCAAATGCGTTATAAAATGCGAACCCTTTTCGTTCTTCAAGCAAGAGATGGTTTACGAAATCTATCTCTTATTCGCTGAATCGATTGGATATTGAGCTTCTTTTTAACTTTATCTTCTTGTATCAACGATAATCGCACTTATGTAAGTTAATGCCACGTCGATTCCACACGTGTCAATCGTTTATCACTAGGAGGAAGTCACGTTAGGCGATAGGTAGGACATAACAATATAACGACAACGATGACGACGACGAGGCTGCCTGGGATCGAAGTAAAGGAGGAATTAAGACCCTTCCTAAGAGAATTCCTCAATGACACGCGATCTTTGGTACTCCTCTTCCCCACGATTCTCTCGGCATCGAGACGAGATATATCGAGGTATTCTCAAGAAGGCTTCGCGCGGCTAACGGGAGAGGAGAAATGATGGCCCGGGTACACACAAATGCCCCGGAAAAGATAAAGGAAATCTGACAACCGCCTGTTTTGTAAGCATTCAGAGACCCTTCTCTGAAGGAGCAGGTATAAACACCAAACACTCGGATCTCTCTCGGTGAAGAGATCCACCACCATTTACTGCCTAATTCTGCAGATCTTACGTCTTAGACTGCCGCGAACACTCAATGTGGCTGACTAGGTTTACGAGTCTTACTCTCTACGTAGGTAGGCACTCAAGAACTTTTCTCAGCGGTCTCCTCCTTTTAACACGCTCTCTCGAATCTCTCTTAGGTTATCAAGCATGCATTTGACTCGCGTGACTCGCCTTTCCGTTTCTCTCCTGTCGTCGATGATCTTTCGAGTGTAACAATTATATTTAAGCATTCATATTTGATTTCCAGTTTTCTATTTTGTGCAGCCTTTTGATTCTGTATGTAATAATATTTTCATTTTTAACTTAACCCTTAAGTACACACCTTAGTTTTTGGCACCCTTACTACGCATGATGGGTCTTTCGTGTCGTGAATTAATTTTCATCATTTTTACAAAAATAATACTATATAAAAATTATTAAGCATTTTTTACATATATATTTTGACATCTTTGAAAAGAAAGTATTTGTATATTTGTGTATTGTAAAGTTGTATATTTATTATAAATTGTCATATAAAATTGTTGTATATAATATTGTTGTATGTAAATCAAAGAAAAGAAATTCGCAGGACACATGAATGACTCAAAGGTATATATTAAAGATTAATTTGTTTATTTTATTACTTATAAAGTAGTTGAAAAAAGAAAGAATTTTTAAAAGAAATAATTAATAATTTTTATTCATGCTGTTACACACACACACACGCACACACACACACACACACACATATACACACACATATATGTATGCATATTCGTAATGAAAATACGAAATAAATTTCTAACAAGACAAATTAATTGAAAACTAATTGGAAAATGAATTTTCTTATTTGTTTGCTCTATAGATTTCTAAATTATCGGTTTTATATCTTCTAAAATTCAATATCACGATAATAAAAATTCCTTCTTATGATTTCCCTGATTGGAAAATTTGATTTAAATTTATTCTTATATTAAGGATTTGATACTATAATTGGTTACGTGCAGAAATATTAATTTGCAACTCTTACCGCCATAATAAAAATTCTTTTTAATAAATTCGCTTCTTTTCTTTTTAGGATTTATTTCATTAGGCCTATATAAATTTTTAATACGAGACGCGCTCGAGTTATCTTTATTGGGCATTTCCGTTAAAATTTTCCTTCCGTGTCTTCAATGACGTGTTATACCGCTTGCTTGTATTGATTATTATTCTACCTCTGCTTGCGCGCTCAGTAAGTGCCATTCTCAAATATAAACTCTTTATGCCGTTAACGATCGCTCGTAATACGATACGTTTCGTCGTGTATCGTTACACCGAGGGTAGTTAGGAGCGCAGCGAAGAAAGAGAAGTCGATCGCGTTCGCTAGCGAAAGTGCGCCCAAAGCGGTTTGCAATCTGTATGTTCAACATGCGATCATCACGTTGTGCTTTACACAGAAAAATAAAAACAAAAGGGCGAAGAAAACGGCGAAAAATAGATTATCGGATTATTAATGAGGCAAAATAAATGGAAAAGAAGTAGATGGATGGGATAAATTTTCAAGTTATGTTTATTACATCGACTCGGAGAGAATGTTAAGAAGCATTCTTTTGTACATATATTCCTTTTGCATATTACTTATTTCAATCCGATTTTTAATTTCTCTCTTTCCCCATACGTGTGTGCGATTGCAACACGATGAAATCTATTGTTAACACTGTGTCTTATAAAGCGTCGTCAGGATGACCCAACAACGATTTATTGGCTTTCAAAGCGTTCGACTAAATCCGCTAGCTGGCTTCGTTACATTATTGGCTTGCGATAGACGGAACGACGAATCTATTTCCATGTTTACAGCAATAACTCGGTAACTCATATACATATGTGTATTCTAAAGAAAATTATTATTACTGTAAAAATGTTTCTTGATACACGAATTTTTAGATAAACTTGAAAGTTTTGTGAAGAAATAATATAGAACTGATATAGTTATAACAAGTTTCTTAAAATTGATACATATTAGAAGTATGACATGCTAATGTGTTATCTATTTATATTGTAATTCCATTTGGACTCTTATGTCAGTCATGTCTCCTTGTGTGACTTTTTAATCAAGGATTTGCTACTTCGTAGACGAAGCAGCGTCGAATGAAATCGGAGGGAATTGTATTCAACGCAATTACGATCCGTGATCCATACTGCCGCCGCCATCGCTCATCCCGAGCATTTGTTCCCAACGTCGAAACATCCATATCGCTCGCG